TCCTAAATCCTCACTTCGGAACCCTCATCAGGTTCATCCCTTTACTCCTCTCTGTTTTTGCAGGTCTTTCATTCTCATTGGTAAATTAGAGGTTTTGGTAAATTAGAGATTTAGGCAGAGGTAATGTGATTTGGGTAGACATAGAGCTTTTTACTGTTATTCGTTTATTGGAGAATGTTATGGTCCTCACGCAAATCCAATCCACAGTAGAATTAACTTCTTAAGTAACAGTAGTGATTAGGATAGACATGGAGCTTTTTACTGTTACTGTTATTCTCCCTTCCTTTTTATATCAGTTTTATTCTGTAAAATTGAGTTTGCTTGTATGCATGTTTATATTGTTCATCTTTTCTGGTTTTTGTGCTTATATTGAATCTGGAATAAGTTCCCAAAAGGACTTCGAAACAAAGGAGAAAAGAAAACCATGGTATTGATATGTCAGTAACTGTTTGACAAAATGCCCGAACCATATATTTCCTTATCGTACCTATCTCACTGGACGAATCAACAAATCGGTTACATTGTTTTAGAATAATCCATTCGATGCTTTAAAACATGATTATTTTTCCTTTTCTTTATTCAAGGTATATGCTGTATGACCCATCCCAATCTACGTTTTTCTCACTGTTTTGCTTCAACCTATTTCATTCTTTTCTTGTTTTCACTGAGTTTCCTTTTTATTGTGTTTTTTTAACATTGAAATATTCACTGCGTAGGTGTAATCTTCTGAATTGGTCGATACTTTAGATTAGGAAGGAGAAAGGGGATAAGAAGCTTAACCTTGAATTGCAGTGTTACTTAATATTTGTTTTGTTCTATTATTTTCTATCATTGTGTTGTTGATTTTTTTACTCTTCCTATGTTCTCCCCTATTCTCTGCAACTACTTAAAACATGGTAGAGATCCAAGCATTTTCGTTCAAAAGGATTGATAATGGAGTTGAATGCCTTCTACTAATTTCCAACTTAATTTGAATTTCATTGGGGATTTTAGGCACCAAATTCGGCTGTGGGTGATATTGGTAGTGGTATGAATTTTAGTTAGCATCCTTTTTGGAAACCTATTCAGTTCACAATGTGTGTAAATTTTCCATATAGACAACACTGTGTAAGATTTAAATAACTGGTTTCCCATAGAATCTCACTTTTAAAATAGAGATTCATTTTTGGTGGTTCTGTGAGTTGTATAGTGGTAGGAGAAGATAAAGGAATGGTCTGCTTTTGGGGATGTTTTATATATAAATTATGGACTGGTCATTATATTAATGTTAACAAGAAAGATTAATTTCGTATGCAAAATGGGAAATTTTGGGACTTCATAAGTGGAATCTTGCAATTAAGGGACTAAAATGTGAGATACATTGAAATTTTATTAGGTGAAATGGTGTACCACTGAAGCAAAATATTTCTGTTATGAATTGTTTGCTTCTTTGTCATTTTGTTCCAATGTGGAGGTCATTAAGAAGGAATTCTACTTGTTCAATAATTAAGCATATTTTTTATTTGGGTTTTTTACGTACTTATACTAAACTGTAAAATTAAGCTTCAGTCAACGTTGGGTTTCGACTTTGTACAGATATATTAATTTATTATTATGTCTATGTTCAGTTGCATGATTTCTTATCTACAGTAAACTTTCGCTTACAAGTAATAATACCACTTGAGCTCATTTTGTAGCAAGATGGCAGACTGGGTAGCATTTACTTGGTGAAAATTTTCATTTCCTTTTGATTTTCATCTTAAAATTTAAATGTTGAAATGGATTAATACACATCATAATTGGTTTGTAATAAGATGTCTATTTTGCCTCATAATATACTGATTAAGCATAGAATTGAGATGGTAGTTCGTTGTTTCTAAGCCGAGTCTGAGACCATTTCTATTTTATGAGAATTTGATTTGTTAATTTTCAGCACATATAATTGATATGGTAAGAAAATATTTAAGGTTGGATCCTCTCTTACCCTGTCCCCTCCCCTCTCCCCCCCTCTAAATTTGACATTATATTTGTCTATTGGGTTATAACTGTCTTTTAATTTTGTTTTTACTAAATCCAAAGTAAACTAATATAGTTTAAGCACTGTAATTCTTGTTAGGACTTTGAGTCATGTAATTTACTTAATGGTTGTGTTAGTAAGTGTACAAATTTGCTCGTGTTTATAAATTGAGTTGTCCAAGCAAATGGAGTTGACTAGTAAAGCTTTTCTTAACATTCTTGCTATTTTTGGGGGGGAACTTGAATATTTTTCCACTGTTTTATATCCTATCATCGGCCATTACCTTTATTTTAGTAAAGTTTGTTAAAGCAGCACTAACCTGGATTTGACACATTTGTTTACTCATCTTGTAAGTTCAAATGGCACCAAGATGGAAAGGAAAAGATGCAAAAGCCAAAAAGGACGCAGAAGCCGGGGCGCTCAAGGAACCCATGTCAAAGATTGTATTTGAACTCAAGTCTTCTCTAGTTCAATCAAATACTTGTGGATTTCTCTCTGATAACAATGTACAGTTAGCAGTGGGAGCAGAGCAACTTGATCTGCTTGATAAAGCATGCTTTGGTCGACCTGTGAGAACAATTGAAAAGGACAAACACTGGTTTCAATTAAGTTTTGAGGAGGCATTTTACTTATGTTATTCCTTGAAATGCCTTAAGATTAATGGCAGTGGTACTGGTTCCCAAAATTATGAAGAGTTGTGGCATTACATGAAGTCGAAGAAAGAAACATTCCCTTGTTTCTACAAGGCTTATTCCCACCTTCGAATGAAAAACTGGGTAGTACGGTCAGGATCTCAGTATGGTGTAGACTTTGTTATCTATCGCCACCATCCATCTCGGGTCCATTCTGAGTATGGTGTGCTTGTTTTATCAGAGGGAGAACATAAAGACCTGAATGGAAGACTCAGACTATGGTCTGATGTTCATTGCACAACTCGACTTGTTGGAAGTGTTGCAAAAATCTTATTGGTTCTACAGATCAATGAAATTGGTAACAACGAGTCTCCATTATGTCTTGCAAACTATACTGTTGAAGAGTGCACAATCACCAGATGGAGTCCAGAACAGAACCGTGAAAATATGTAGATCATAGCACTGATAAGATAACAAAGAGTAATTATAGATACATATTTTCAATGCAAGTCTTGCTAATTTTTCACGTCATATTTAGAGCTAAACACAAAAGCTACTCTTAGTAGCTTACACTGAAGTGGATTTTATAATGTTGACCATTGTTTTTCTCAGCATTCAAAATATTGTCAAATATGATAGTATAAAAATATTTTTTACTGTCTTTGTTTGTTATTCAAGGACAACAATAGTCAAATATTCCTTTTTTTATTTACATTGCTATCTCTTTTTTCTGAAGGTTCTCCATATGCATGTTTGCATAACCTAATCCTCGTCTCGCTTGAATCCAATGTTGAGGCATGCTCTGCTGAAACCACTTCATTTTATACTTTGATTTAATTTTAATTTTGGTGTTTTTGTTCTGTGTGATTCTTACTTTTAATTTTAATTGGTCAATTAGTCATATTTAGTATTTATAGTTGTTGATTGTTCGAATTGAGTTTCTTTAAATTTCATTTAATAATTAATAAAATTACAATGGAAGTATAATATATTACTATATGTATAGTTTAGAAGAAAATCCGTAAAATATTAAAATAATAATGAGACCGATATTTTATTATTTTTATTTAAACATTATTTATGTTTTCAAATGCATTTGTACTATTACATGCAATTTTAGATGAAAGATGGAGAATTATAAGAATTCTGTTTAGAAAACTATAAATAAAGAATCAAAATTAAACACTGATATAAAGTGTTATTAAGCCTGTGATAATTTGTAGACATATTATAGCATCTATGTTCATATTTGATTTGATGTTTGGAATTTCAAAGTTTTGAAATAAATTTTAGCAATTTTAAACCCTTCTCTAATATTAACTTCAATTATTTTATTGTACCAATGTATAGTAAATACAGAGCAATTTAAAGGAAATTGATGTCCCATTTATTTAATCATAAATGTTGGTTTTCTAAAAGGTAACTTTCAAAATTGAAATTTCATCATTAAAAAATCCCTTATGAATGTACATCAATTTTAACATTGTGAAAAATAATTTGGTAAGTATTAAACAGTTTAATATACTTGAGAAGTATTCTCCAGAATAATTAGAATAAAGACAGTAAAATTAAAAGATATAAATAATAATTGTTTTACTAAAGATTAATTTGGTGTTTGGATTCTCAGACAATTTTATTTGACGTCTTGTATTTATATTTAAGATGTGAAAATTTTTAAATTGTTTAAAGTCATTATATCTATGTTTAAGACTTGAAAAGTTAAAATTATCTAAAGCAATTTTAGACGTCACTATGGATTTACATTACACTGGATTCCAAGTCAAATTAGATATATATTAACGTAAGATCTGAAAAATACTTAAGAATAGGAGTAGATAATATTAATGAAGTTTTGATTACTTTTTTATTAAAAGCTTGAGTTATAATTAGAAAACGAATTAATCAAGTTTTATTTTATAAAATTTGCCATTTCTTTAAATATATTCTTCTTCTATTCTCTCTCAAATTTTGACCAATTTATTCTTCATTTTGAAGATATGAGTGAACCGTAGGAGTTACTGTGTAGAGAGCAATGATTTCACCTAATCAAAGTCTAAATCAAAATAAGTTCATTTTTTTCCTTTCTTTTCAGTCACTCAATGTGTGGAAAAACTTGTTTCNTAAATCTAAGGTTAGTTTAATGAAAAGAAGTTAATTAAATATTTTAAAAAGTTATATAATTAAATTAAACTAAATAAAAGTTAAGGGACTGATTGAATTTTTTTTATATAAAAATGGAAGGATTTTAACCTTTTTCTTATTAAAATATAAATTCCCTCTGAATACTCTTTTCCCACAAAAAGAAAATCAATTCCCGAAAGTTATTATTCTAAAACCTTTCTCGTCCGCCTAACCCTTTACCTTCGCATAAACCTTCCACTTGAAATACATTTCGAAAACCTTTCTCCCTCGTTTCAAGAACCCTTCTCCGGTGTCATTTCGCGAACCTTCATTCCTTATCGCGAACTCGTCGAGCGTTCATTCTAGTGGAACCTTCATGCATTTCACATTGGTCATGCGAACACCCGTTATGGAAAACCTCATAGGAAACCCAAATCCACCGTCACCAAAAACCCTGACCGGAAACCCAAACCCTCCGCTCTCACCGTTATCCTCCTCCTAAATCCTCACTTCGGAACCCTCATCAGGTTCATCCCTTTACTCCTATCTGTTTTTGCAGGTCTTTCATTCTCATTGGTAAATTAGAGGTTTTGGTAAATTAGAGATTTAGGCAGAGGTAATGTGATTTGGGTAGACATAGAGCTTTTTACTGTTATTCGTTTATTGGAGAATGTTATGGTCCTCACGCAAATCCAATCCACAGTAGAATTAACTTCTTAAGTAACAGTAGTGATTAGGATAGACATGGAGCTTTTTACTGTTACTGTTATTCTCCCTTCCTTTTTATATCAGTTTTATTCTGTAAAATTGAGTTTGCTTGTATGCATGTTTATATTGTTCATCTTTTCTGGTTTTTGTGCTTATATTGAATCTGGAATAAGTTCCCAAAAGGACTTCGAAACAAAGGAGAAAAGAAAACCATGGTATTGATATGTCAGTAACTGTTTGACAAAATGCCCGAACCATATATTTCCTTATCGTACCTATCTCACTGGACGAATCAACAAATCGGTTACATTGTTTTAGAATAATCCATTCGATGCTTTAAAACATGATTATTTTTCCTTTTCTTTATTCAAGGTATATGCTGTATGACCCATCCCAATCTACGTTTTTCTCACTGTTTTGCTTAAACCTATTTCATTCTTTTCTTGTTTTCACTGAGTTTCCTTTTTATTGTGTTTTTTTAACATTGAAATATTCACTGCGTAGGTGTAATCTTCTGAATTGGTCGATACTTTAGATTAGGAAGGAGAAAGGGGATAAGAAGCTTAACCTTGAATTGCAGTGTTACTTAATATTTGTTTTGTTCTATTATTTTCTATCATTGTGTTGTTGATTTTTTTACTCTTCCTATGTTCTCCCCTATTCTCTGCAACTACTTAAAACATGGTAGAGATCCAAGCATTTTCGTTCAAAAGGATTGATAATGGAGTTGAATGCCTTCTACTAATTTCCAACTTAATTTGAATTTCATTGGGGATTTTAGGCACCAAATTCGGCTGTGGGTGATATTGGTAGTGGTATGAATTTTAGTTAGCATCCTTTTTGGAAACCTATTCAGTTCACAATGTGTGTAAATTTTCCATATAGACAACACTGTGTAAGATTTAAATAACTGGTTTCCCATAGAATCTCACTTTTAAAATAGAGATTCATTTTTGGTGGTTCTGTGAGTTGTATAGTGGTAGGAGAAGATAAAGGAATGGTCTGCTTTTGGGGATGTTTTATATATAAATTATGGACTGGTCATTATATTAATGTTAACAAGAAAGATTAATTTCGTATGCAAAATGGGAAATTTTGGGACTTCATAAGTGGAATCTTGCAATTAAGGGAATAAAATGTGAGATACATTGAAATTTTATTAGGTGAAATGGTGTACCACTGAAGCAAAATATTTCTGTTATGAATTGTTTGCTTCTTTGTCATTTTGTTCCAATGTGGAGGTCATTAAGAAGGAATTCTACTTGTTCAATAATTAAGCATATTTTTTATTTGGGTTTTTTACGTACTTATACTAAACTGTAAAATTAAGCTTCAGTCAACGTTGGGTTTCGACTTTGTACAGATATATTAATTTATTATTATGTCTATGTTCAGTTGCATGATTTCTTATCTACAGTAAACTTTCGCTTACAAGTAATAATACCACTTGAGCTCATTTTGTAGCAAGATGGCAGACTGGGTAGCATTTACTTGGTGAAAATTTTCATTTCCTTTTGATTTTCATCTTAAAATTTAAATGTTGAAATGGATTAATACACATCATAATTGGTTTGTAATAAGATGTCTATTTTGCCTCATAATATACTGATTAAGCATAGAATTGAGATGGTAGTTCGTTGTTTCTAAGCCGAGTCTGAGACCATTTCTATTTTATGAGAATTTGATTTGTTAATTTTCAGCACATATAATTGATATGGTAAGAAAATATTTAAGGTTGGATCCTCTCTTACCCTGTCCCCTCCCCTCTCCCCCCCTCTAAATTTGACATTATATTTGTCTATTGGGTTATAACTGTCTTTTAATTTTGTTTTTACTAAATCCAAAGTAAACTAATATAGTTTAAGCACTGTAATTCTTGTTAGGACTTTGAGTCATGTAATTTACTTAATGGTTGTGTTAGTAAGTGTACAAATTTGCTCGTGTTTATAAATTGAGTTGTCCAAGCAAATGGAGTTGACTAGTAAAGCTTTTCTTAACATTCTTGCTATTTTTGGGGGGGAACTTGAATATTTTTCCACTGTTTTATATCCTATCATCGGCCATTACCTTTATTTTAGTAAAGTTTGTTAAAGCAGCACTAACCTGGATTTGACACATTTGTTTACTCATCTTGTAAGTTCAAATGGCACCAAGATGGAAAGGAAAAGATGCAAAAGCCAAAAAGGACGCAGAAGCCGGGGCGCTCAAGGAACCCATGTCAAAGATTGTATTTGAACTCAAGTCTTCTCTAGTTCAATCAAATACTTGTGGATTTCTCTCTGATAACAATGTACAGTTAGCAGTGGGAGCAGAGCAACTTGATCTGCTTGATAAAGCATGCTTTGGTCGACCTGTGAGAACAATTGAAAAGGACAAACACTGGTTTCAATTAAGTTTTGAGGAGGCATTTTACTTATGTTATTCCTTGAAATGCCTTAAGATTAATGGCAGTGGTACTGGTTCCCAAAATTATGAAGAGTTGTGGCATTACATGAAGTCGAAGAAAGAAACATTCCCTTGTTTCTACAAGGCTTATTCCCACCTTCGAATGAAAAACTGGGTAGTACGGTCAGGATCTCAGTATGGTGTAGACTTTGTTATCTATCGCCACCATCCATCTCGGGTCCATTCTGAGTATGGTGTGCTTGTTTTATCAGAGGGAGAACATAAAGACCTGAATGGAAGACTCAGACTATGGTCTGATGTTCATTGCACAACTCGACTTGTTGGAAGTGTTGCAAAAATCTTATTGGTTCTACAGATCAATGAAATTGGTAACAACGAGTCTCCATTATGTCTTGCAAACTATACTGTTGAAGAGTGCACAATCACCAGATGGAGTCCAGAACAGAACCGTGAAAATATGTAGATCATGCTAGCACTGATAACAAAGCGTAATTATAGATACATATTTTCAATGCAAGTCTTGCTAATTTTTCACGTCATATTTAGAGCTAAACACAAAAGCTACTCTTAGTAGCTTACACTGAAGTGGATTTTATAATGTTGACAATTGTTTTTCTCAGCATTCAAAATATTGTCAAATATGATAGTATAAAAATATTTTTTACTGTCTTTGTTTGTTATTCAAGGACAACAATAGTCAAATATTCCTTTTTTTATTTACATTGCTATCTCTTTTTTCTGAAGGTTCTCCATATGCATGTTTGCATAACCTAATCCTCGTCTCGCTTGAATCCAATGTTGAGGCATGCTCTGCTGAAACCACTTCATTTTATACTTTGATTTAATTTTAATTTTGGTGTTTTTGTTCTGTGTGATTCTTACTTTTAATTTTAATTGGTCAATTAGTCATATTTAGTATTTATAGTTTTTGATTGTTCGAATTAAGTTTCTTTAAATTTCATTTAATAATTAATAAAATTACAATGGAAGTATAATATATTACAATATGTATAGTTTAGAAGAAAATCCGTAAAATATTAAAATAATAATGAGACCGATATTTTATTATTTTTATTTAAACATTATTTATGTTTTCAAATGCATTTGTACTATTACATGCAATTTTAGATGAAAGATGGAGAATTATAAGAATTCTGTTTAGAAAACTATAAATAAAGAATCAAAATTAAACACTGATATAAAGTGTTATTAAGCCTGTGATAATTTGTAGACATATTATAGCATCTATGTTCATATTTGATTTGATGTTTGGAATTTCAAAGTTTTGAAATAAATTTTAGCAATTTTAAACCCTTCTCTAATATTAACTTCAATTATTTTATTGTACCAATGTATAGTAAATACAGAGCAATTTAAAGGAAATTGATGTCCCATTTATTTAATCATAAATGTTGGTTTTCTAAAAGGTAACTTTCAAAATTGAAATTTCATCATTAAAAAATCCCTTATGAATGTACATCAATTTTAACATTGTGAAAAATAATTTGGTAAGTATTCAATAGTTTAATCTACTTGAGAAGTATTTTCCAGAATAATTAGAATAAAGACAGTAAAATTAAAAGATATAAATAATAATTGTTTTACTAAAGATTAATTTGGTGTTTGGATTCTCAGACAATTTTATTTGACGTCTTGTATTTATATTTAAGATGTGAAAATTTTTAAATTGTTTAAAGTCATTATATCTATGTTTAAGACTTGAAAAGTTAAAATTATCTAAAGCAATTTTAGACGTCACTATGGATTTACATTACACTGGATTCCAAGTCAAATTAGATATATATTAACGTAAGATCTGAAAAATACTTAAGAATAGGAGTAGATAATATTAATGAAGTTTTGATTACTTTTTTATTAAAAGCTTGAGTTATAATTAGAAAACGAATTAATCAAGTTTTATTTTATAAAATTTGCCATTTCTTTAAATATATTCTTCTTCTATTCTCTCTCAAATTTTGACCAATTTATTCTTCATTTTGAAGATATGAGTGAACCGTAGGAGTTACTGTGTAGAGAGCAATGATTTCACCTAATCAAAGTCTAAATCAAAATAAGTTCATTTTTTTCCTTTCTTTTCAGTCACTCAATGTGTGGAAAAACTTGTTTCCATGTGAGTCTTGTTCTCGAGGTTCAAAATGAAACTTTGTAGTGAATAATAGGTTGTGTTCAAATAATTGTTCATATTCTTATTCTTAAGAGTTGATTTCTTTTTATGAAAATTATTTTTCTTAAAATTTGGCTTTTTAACATTTTTATTTTTGGTTTCTACTTCAATTAAATTCTCAAGAATATTAATATCAAACATGTGATTCTTACAATATTGACATTCAATGAGAGATTCAACAATTAAAACTTCTTTCATTTCTAAATTAGAAATTTCAATTTTAAAATGACTTATTCATCTAAAGCTTTTTCATATTTAAACTGTAATTCTTTAAAATCTTATTTTAATTTTTCATGAACAACGTCTAATTTTCATATTCATAAAGTAATTATAAAAAAGCTTTTTGCAAATCAACAAAATCATCGTTATTACTGGAAATACTTATTACTTGGCTCTTGATGTCATAATTGTTTACCATTAAACATAATTTTGCTTTCTCATGAGTAGCTTGAGCTAGATGAGTTGCTTGATGAAGATCTTGAATCACAAAATGTCAACTTAACATGATATGTGCCTTCATCATGAGTGACTCTTAAAACTTCTCACATTTTCTAAGCGTTTTCACAAACATAAATTCTAGAAAACTCATAGAGATAAAGTAGAAGAAATAATATTTCTAGTCTTAACATCTTATTAAATCCTTCTGTTTTCTTCCATAATTCATTATAAAAATAGCTTTGATTCCTGCACATTATTTATAGTAATAGTAGGAAAATATGGTCCATTCAAAATAGTATCCCAAACACCTCTATCAACATATTCCATTAAGATTTGCATTCTAACTTTTCAGAATAGATCATTTTCACCATTAAAAAGAAGTGGTTTGTTAATAGACACACCTTCTACAAAGGTTTGAAATTGTCCAACCATTTTCGAAAAATTTGAATAGCTATCTAAGCAAATTCTGATATCAATTGTAGAAAATGAATAACGGAATTGTTAAAGAGTAGACAACAACCAATAGGGAGTGAATTGGTTTTGCGTTAGAAATCGTTTGTTTTTAACAAACTTTCACTTTTTTAAAATATCTTTAACAAGTCAAAAAAATAACTATGAATAATAACAAGTAAATAAAAGAGAGTATGGAAAAAAAAGCTTGCATAAGTTATTTTTATACTAATTCAGATCAAAAGGTCCTACATCCAGTCATTAATCACTTATGATAGTCGATTATGATAATCGATTATCACTTATGATAGTTTATTATCACAGGGATTTTTAAGAAAAGTAAAATTATCTAGAGTGTTTTGTTGGTTGAGTTCTACCTTTTGACTTTTGATCTACTCATTTTAAATAAAATACACAGATTACAAAACAACTAAATTCTCAAGTTTTAAATGTATCTTTTAAATCCAGACATTCTTTAAATCTTCAAAACTTTTTCATGAATCATCATCATCAAAATTCTTTATCAAAGCAAAATGTCCATCTTCTTCTTTGTACAAACAATCTTCCACTTTTTTATGATGATAAAAAAATTGCCAGTGATCCCGAAAAATGTAAAATTGAGACTTGTCAAATTTGAAAATAAATCTTATCATATTTTATGAAGAACTAATGGTATTTTCTTTTCAAAATTTTGGTGCCATTATTGACTCCGACGAGTGAATTGACTAGTTCATGCTTTTAAAAGTTTAACATACACTCAGTCCTTATTAAAATTACTTGTGTTGCTTTAAATCCAAATAAAGCTTCCTATTTTTGATTAACCTAGGTTATCTTCACTTTATTGACCAATTTTGATATGCTTTTAATAGAAGACAACATTTTAAATACAAACTTTGTGCTTTTGAAAGTACATTTGATTGAATGTGATATCAGGAGTCAATATATAGTTTACATCAAGCTAACTGTCACACCTGGTTCTCTTTATCAGAGAATCAATCTCAAGAAAATTAATGGCCACCCATGGTTTTTGAAGAATCTTCCAAGAGAGTTAACTGAATCAGCTCAAGTTGTCTTTTACCAAAGATGCAACCCAAGTTTTTTTTCAAAGTGTGGAGGAGATAATGAAAATTGTGGGAGAAGCAAGGGACCATCCTTCAGTTTCTAGGCATTTCAAAGATTTTGGTTGGGACGATGAAGAAGACGAAGGGGAAGTAGATGGGGAGGAAGAAGAGATGAAGAAAATGAGTATAACAAGAGAGTGAAGGAAGTTCATGTGAGTGGAGAGTTTCAAATCACTTAAGTAGTATAATTACTGTGTTCTTGGGTAAAGTTTTATTTAGGCATTCTGAAAAGCAAGAAGTTGGAGAAATAAATGAATTTAATGTTTATTCGAATAGTCTCGATCTTTATAATTTTAACATATTATTAACTAATCATTATTTTATTTGTAGGTATATGATCTAAGAAAATGTACAAAATGATGAAGATAATGAAGAAGAACAAAAACAATCGTTGTTGTTGAACATGTTTATTTTAACTTTTATTATTGAATAATGTTATTTGTTATGTTGAACAATTAATTGTATTTAACAATGTTTATCGTTTATTTTATATAATAATATTTAATTTTAGTTTTAAATAATTTGATTATGTATTTTATTATTAAATTATTTTTAAGATAATGGAAATATTTTTAGTAAAAAACGGTTTTGTAAAACCCTTAATAACTAACGATAATTTTGAAAAACTCCCGCATGTAGCGACGATTTTACTAAACCCCAACAAGTAACAGTAGTTTTGAAAAACCCAATGACATTTTTGAAAACTCCATTAAAACTACGGTAATTGTTTATCGACATTGTTTTTCCCGATGATTTCCATAACCAAAGGAAATTTATTTACCAAGAGTTAATATCATCGATAATGTAAAATATAACTCTTTACTATAATTAATATTATATATATATATATATTATTTAAATAATTTTATTTTTATTTTTATTATATTATATTATATATAGTAAACCTGCACGAAACTTCAACGCAGAAACAAAATAACTTATATATTCATCACATTTTTAGAATAAGCCAAAATTTGGATACAAGTAAATTGCTAAATGTTATCTTGTGGTAAATACTTAAGAATATGATATCTTTATAATTAGTAAATGTGCTAAATAAAATTTTACTTTTTATTATGTATTTTACAAAAGTTTTTCCTAAATAATAAATGAACTTATTAAGAATTGGTGTAGAATACTTGAATTTATGCAGGAAAGAGAATAATTTTAATTAGTACATAAAAGTACAAAGTTATAAAATATTTGATTTTTAATGCAAATTTTAATACTGTTTCTTAATTAATTGTAACAAAAGCACGAAAACAATTGTCATTCAATACATTACATAGTAACTGTGCTAATATGAACTATTTGTTGATTACATAACAATGTATCAATACAATTATAAATAATTTATAATCTTTTAGAATATATTTATTTTATATGATATAAGAGTATCTTTGAACAACCTTTTAAAAAAAAAGTGAAAGTTGCACGCTCAAATTCATCCAGTAACAATAACTTCTACCGTTATTTAAAAA